TAGCCTGTCTGCTCACTGTCAATCTTATTCTCTCAAGCAGCTGTTTCTCACAGGGCTATTGTTAGGGAGGTTGCTGTATTGCTTTCCAGGACTAAAAAGCCTCTCTTCAACCCAGTCCCTGAGGGCTCTTAGTGGCTATTCAGATTTTTTGTGAATTTGTACCACTCAGGATGTAGCCTGGGTGTGGCTGTATTGGTTGCCTAGAGACTGCTGGGAGGAGCTAGCTCTTTAGGAGAAAATGGCTGCTTATGTCCGGAGTGTCAGGAATGTCCCAGTGCCGAACTCTTGGTGACCTCTCCCTGACCTGCTCTTCTCCGCAGCCTCTTCCCAGACTCCGCAAGTCCACACCTCCACCTGCACCTCAGCCACGGGTGAGTGTTTGTATTTGAAAGGTCCTATGAACTGGGTTTAGAGCAGTGGTTCCCAAACTTATTTGGCCTACCGCCCCCTTTCCAGAAAAAATATTACTCAGTGCCCCCTGGAAATTAATTTTTTAAAAATTTTAATAGCAATTAAACAAAGATATATGTATTAATGTTTCTACCTTTTTCATAAAATATAGTAAAGAAAGGTGTAAATTAGAAACATTGAAGTTTGAAATTATGAAACTATTTATTGAACTCAGAATAGAAAGGTAATACAAAAAAAGTTAAAACAAATGCACCTGTGGCCATCACCGCCCCCATGGATCGCTGCAGCGCCCACCAGGGGGCGGTAGCGCCCACTTTGGGAATCACTGGTTTAGAGAATAAAGGCAAAGACCAAAAAGAGGGGAAACAACTGCGCCACTGCGAGTTTCTCTCCCCGCAACCCCGGAACCCCCCCCCCCCCAAATAAAAGGTTGGGCAGGTCCTCGGGGTGGCCCCTCTGGGCTCAGCGTCTCAAGCTGTGGCATTAAATCTAATAACCCCCGCGGGCCGGATCCCTGTGGACCTCTTTCCACAATTAAAAGTAATGCCCGTCCCCAAAGGACAGAGAACTTGGTAGCCCATGACTTCCTTCTGACACATCTAGCTCAAAGGTCTCGCAACTCTCTCCAGTCCAGATCCCCAAATCTAATATATCTCAAGGCATCCTCTTGCCCTTCCAGCTGCAAATTGTCTCACCAGCTGTGTCTACTTTGCCAATTCTGAGTGGATCTTATTCAATTTAGATGCTCCCTTCTATCTTTCTCTGGGATAAGGCTGGGGACACGTCTGCCTATTTGGCCCCCATTTTGTCTCCTCTCTCTTCTTTTTTCTTAACAAGGCTATTCAGGATCACCCAATTCAAATTAGCCACAAAGTCACTCTCTGCTCATCTCCTTGTATTTCTCTGCGTGGCTCTGATGTCCGTGTCATATTTTTCTTGTTCATTTTTTTTTACTGGCTAATTATTGTGGTCACTCACTGAATTGTAAGCTCTGTGAGAGCAGGGCTTTATCCATCTTGTTGTCATTGTACCTCCCTGTGCCTTCAAAAGTGCTTGGCTCATAGATGTTTCTTACTTAATATTTGTGGAATAAGTGAGGAAGGAAGACAATGATGTTACTGCCTACCACACTGGTTAGATATGATTGCATAGGATGTTTTGAGTAAAGTTGGAGAGAGGCAAAGTGGAATCCATCCAGAGATTAGACACAAATAGCAAAAGAGGAACTGGTAAGATTCGACCTGGAAACATTGGGATGACTGGGAAATGGAAAAAGAAGTTATAAGAACACACTATTCACATTTCTGAAAGAAATAGTTTTCTGATAATTTTGAGCTGTCCCACAATGGGGGTGTCCTGCATGGCCATGTAGCCAGGAAGTTTCAGAGAGAATTTTGAAGGTGGTAGAATTAAAAACCTCCACAGTTCCTTACAAATATAATATTATCATTATAAAGTAAGATAACGTTTCACACAAGACCACCAGTTTCTTCCCAAATATAAAATGTGAGTGGAGAGCTTTAGGAAAGGTGGTTACCTTATGCTCTAAAGTGGAATTCTGTTTAGGATGGGAAAGACCTCACTGAAAAATCAATGCTTATGAGGTTGAAAAATATCACTCATTGTGTAAAAGTGTTTTTGCAACTCAAAAGAAAACCACTTTTGTGCTCCTTAAGGCTGCCGAGTTAGCTAATTTCTAGGTGAGGCTGTGCCACATGCCTTGTGAAAGCACTTGTGTTACTTCTGATAACAAACTCCTTGGATGGGATTTATGTCAGACCAACTCTTAAATTCCATATCCTTGTGGTTGATGCTTCAGTGAAGTGTGACTGTAATCTAATTTATTTAAGGATGTTTTCTTCCAATTAATGCCATTTAGTTTTACAAATTGCCTATCATGTTTTTCTTAATAACCTCAGAACTCAAGAAAATGGTGAAGACTCAACTTGAAATCTTTGCTTTAGGTTAAGTCATTTGAACATATTTTTCACTCTGAAAACTTCTGGAAAACTTTTCAAGGTTTTATTAAATTGCAAAACGTTTGATGGGCAGGTTTCAATATGTCTTTTCCATGTGTGAACACCAGAAAAGTGACTTTAAGCAACAATCTTAACCAAAAATATGCTCTTGCACCAAAGTTGAAAAAACAATTAAAAGAAAAAATCAGGTTGTAAGAATATGAATGTAGTTTAAGGATATATGTTTGTAGTTTATAGATAAGAAATAGACATATTAAATAGTTTTTGGTTTTGTAAATAGTAGAGGATTCATCTTTTCTGAGTCAATTATGTTACTTGCTTAGAACAGTGTGGAGATAGCACCATAATTCTGGAGAGATTACAAACTGTTTACATCAACACACAATTGCCTCAAAAGGGCCGTGTAATGTGTATGCAAGAGACAGTCATTAGTTTGCTGCTTTTTCACTAAACTGTTTCTACTGTGGAAAAACTCTGCATTGTACTTGTCCCATGGAGTAAAGTCAGAGATGTATCTTCCTCTCTGAAGAAAGGGCGATTTTATAATAATGCAAATGTAAATACTAGTCAGCAAGCTTAATCCGCATAGGAGCACTACAACTTGACCTTGAGAACATTGCCTATTCTATTTTAGGACATTTCTAACTCCATTTCCTTTAATTAAAAATAGTCTTGGCCTTGAAACTAACACGGATTTTTAGTTTATTTGAGTATACAAATTGACAAATGCAATCGATACCTACCTTACAGTGAATTTTTAATAGTCAGAGAATGAGTACATGTTATTGAACTGAACTGGTTTTCACTTGGAAGCTTCTCATGATTTTTCATGACCGAAAGACTGTAAGTTTATATTTCTAGATCCATCCTTTCATTTGAGTGTTCCATATATTCAAGTGGATCATTCATGTTTCAACATTCTGCCTTCTTTTCAAATTCAACTTGGCCACAACTGGGTTTATCATCTCTTTAAACCTGTGCTGACACTCAATTCTTGGATTTTGTCAATGACATCAACTTTTTATTGTGGTTTTGGGGCTGGAAACATGAGGCAGAGTAGCGCAAAATTGTTATTTGTGAAAACATTATGTAAATTCTTAAGTTCTGTCCAGATGTAAAATATTAATATTCTTGCATCTTCTATATAAAACCATGGTAATCAAATTTTCAATGTTTGCAGTATCCTTCTTTGTTTTCATATCTATAACTGTAGTTCAAATCTTCATTATGTTATGTGCCTGTGTTCAGTAAAGCTTCATTCATTCATTCAGTCATTCAAAGCTCTGAGTTGGGCAACTACTATGTGCCAGACAATATGCTAGATGGCAAAGTAGTTATAGTAATAAGACAGAAATAGTTCCCACCTCCATGAAGTTTACAGTTTCATGGCAAAGGTGGGCATAGAAGTAAGTTTAAGCATGATAAATATAAAGAACAGAGTTCCATGTTTGCATGTATCAGATGAACTTAACCTAATCATGGGTGTCAGAAAACCTAGCTGATCTCTTTTTGGCTTATAATGATGACATCAGTTTTCCTCAGACACCATTAATATCATATCATTCATACTAAAAAATTGAATAACCCTCAACCCCCATCCACTCTGAATATCTTTTCAAAGTCTCCATAATTTGTCCCTATCAGGAATATTTCTTCACTGTTCCATGGATATATTATACTTTCCCCAGTTATAGCTCTCTTTATGATATTATTACCTTCGTCCTTGACCCACATACAGTTTTCCCTATCATTAAAAGCCCTGGTGAAAATGAATTACTGATGTTTTGGGCTTTACTGGCTAACCACGTTGTGATACTGTCTCTTGCAATCTCTTACAACTCCAAGTTTATCTTGTAGATTTGTAAAGTTTTGGATATTCTAACTGGGACTTCCAACACTACTTTCTAAAGTGATAAGCAATTTCTTTTTCTTATCTTGAAACAAGTGTGTGAGTGTGTATGTGTGTGTTTTCATGGAGATTTTGCTTTAACAGGTTGGCCAAAGATAATTTATAACACTTGAAAAGTTACTAATAGGTCAAGTTGACAATTTATTCACCCAAGATATTGTAAATATATTTAATTGAACTTAATTATCATAGTTTTATTGCTTCTCTATTTTGGCATTGAAATAGAAACATCCTACTTAAGGCACTTACTAATAAAGTATTTGGAACTGCAAAACTGGCCTCAGGATTAATATTTCCTATACTTGGTAGTGATATACATACATAAACATATATATATCATATGTACATGAACTCACACTGATACACATATGCACATATACTGACTACATATTTACATATGTATATGTGTATTAAAATAGTTAAACATGAGAACATTTGGATTAGACATTCATGAGAGTAGAAAAATGTGCTTTTCATAATCGAACAAAAGCTTCCAGATGCATTCAATTGTGTTTAGAGAGCTAAAACAATGGCTTAGTTTAAAAAAACCAAAAACTTGCCATGGCCTTTATTCTTAATTAGAACAAGTGTCTTTGACATATTTGAAGACATTTGACTTAAAAATAGCCAAGTTGAAAGTATTTAAGAGTGACACATGAGCGCCATTCCTGACTGGACTTTGCACTCTGTATCTGTTGCAGGCATCCATCTCCTTGACTTCAAAGAGAATTTCCCGGAATGAAACCACTACACAGCGAAACAATCTGTCCATCTTCTGCTTCCATTGTATTTGAAACTCAGCATCAGTATCTGTGTACAGCTGAGCCCAGTGAAGTGTTGAATCCGACAAAAACTCCAGCACTCTACCACATGCCAATGGAGTTCCTTTGCAAAGCTCCTGGTTCCCAAATGGAAATCCTGTCTTGGCTCTTTGGAGGCACTGACGAGTTTTGAGAGAGAGCAGACCAAGACCTGGATGTTTACAATTATGTGTGCTTTTCCTTGACATCAGTGCTTTAACATGTGGATTGATCCTGTGTGGTCCATGCATAAAATCAGGGGGTAAGCAGTATTTGAGGACATATACTGTGGTCAGATAGATTTAGGACAATCCTTTTCCCTTAAGTATGTTCTTGAACATATTTAATAAATATGCTCAAGAACAATAGTCCTGGCCCTGGCTGATGTGGCTTGATTGATTGGGCATCATCTCACACACAGAAAGGGTGCCAGTTGGATTTCCAGTCAAGGCACATGACCGGGGTTGCAGGCTCAATCACCGGTAGGGGCATGCAGGAGCCAGCCGATTGATGTTTCCCTCTCACATTGATGTTTCTTTCTCTCCCTCCCTTTATTGTCTCTAAAAAAATTAATAAAAAATATTAAGAAGGAAAAAGAACAACAGTCCTGACACAGCATGGTCCCAACACATCAAAGAAGACACATCAAAGAAGGCTTCAACTCTGACACTCCACTGTTCTACCAAAGCAGGAAACAAAGACATTTTAGGAAGACCAATGCAAGCTGGGAAGAAAATGGTGTGAAGCTTTGGGGAACATGGTGATATGTAGAGTACAGGTTTTGACAGCAGGCAGACCTGAGTTTGAATCCTGGAAATATTCTTCACGATGTAGTCTCAGGTTGTCATTAAAACTTACGTAGTGTCTGCTTTCTCATGTGCAAAATGAGGAGAATAATATGTATCCCTATTGCTTTGTGGTGAAATTAACAATAATGCATGGCACATAGGAGGTGCTTGTATTAGGATTCTCCAGAAAAACAGAAACAATAGATTATATTCATAGAGTATGGATATGAAGATATCTACTAGTATTATAAGGAATTGGCCCCTATGATTTTGAAGGCTGAAAAGCCCAAGATCTGTCATCTGCAAGCTGGAGACCAAGAAGAGCCGATGATGGAATTCCAGCCTAAAGATTGGCAGGTTTGAGACCCAGGAAGAACTGATTTTTCAGTTGGAGTCGGAAGGCAGAAAAAATCTGCTCAAGGTAGTCAGGCGGGAATGGTCAGCCTTTTTGTTCTAGTCAGGCCTCCAACTGATTGGAACAGGCCCAACCACATTGAGGAGGGCAATCTGCTTTACTCAGTCCACCAATTCACTGCTAAACTCATCCAAAAACACCCTCAGAGAAACAGCCACAATAGTATTTGACTAAATGCCTGGGCACTCCATGGCCTAGGCAAGTTGATACATAAAATTAACCATCATAGTGTTTTATAAATGAAAACTTCTATACTAATAATAGAGGAATATGCAGATTCACCAGGATGCCATCATATAACGACCAATCAGGACGGGGCGAGGCTGTAGCGAAGAGCTCTCAGCATGCCTGCGCTGGGGGTCCAAAGGGCGCAGAGAGGAAGGGAGAGCAAATGGGCAGTTAGGGGGATCAAGCAAGGAGAGGAGAGCAGATAGGCAGTTAGGGGAATCAGGCCAGGAGGGGAGAGCAGTTAGGCAGTTAGGGCAATCAGGCTGGCAGGGGAGAGCAGTTAGGGTGATCAGGCCAGCAGGGGAGAGCAGTTAGGGCCATCAGGTCGGCAGGGGAGCTGTTAGGGGCATCAGGCAGGCAGGCAGGTGAGCGGTTAGGAGCCAGTGGTTCTGGGTTGTGAGAGGGATCCCGGATTGGAGAGGGTGCAGGCCGGGCTGAGGGCCCCCTCATGCATGATTTCATGCACCAGGCCTCTAGTCTATTAATAATAATGATCAGAAATATAGTTTATATTCTTTCCTGTTTCTGTCTAACGTGATGCTGAAATTTAAATCTCATATTTTATTTTCAACTCAATCCATTTAAATAAAACACATTAATTAATTGTTTTATAACTATTAATAATAACTTTTGATTACTAATAAAAATAGCTGCCTAAAGTCAAGAAAGCACTGGAACTTTAAATAATGAAAATCATTACAGTGGTCCACTATTTCTATGTTTATATTTTATTGATGTATTCAATCATTAAGAAAAAAATGTAACATTGCCATTAGTACTGATCACAGAAGTGTAATTGGCTATAGAGTGTAGGCATTTCCATTTTCTAACTTTGGGTAGCAATGCCTTCCTCATTGCTGAGTGTCTTGAACACCGGGTCATTTGCTGGTCAATGTGGTATCAAATGGACATATCTAACTTCATTCACTGGAGACATTTGCTGAATGGAAAGCCAACCCTGTGACTCATTTGGAGGATTTCCATCTGTCTTTCCCATACAGGGAGTGGTAAAAACCACCACCACAGTCACAGGCAGACACTTGAAGGGGACTCTTTCAATGTAGTTTTGTATGAGACACTGTAGACTGGGAGTATGGACACCCTGGTTCTAATTACAGACCTGGCACCAAAATTTCCCAGCCCCTTGAGGAGCCTCAATGTCCTCATCAGAAAGCGAGTGATTAGACAGGATGGCTTGCATGACTTCCAGCCACAGAATCCTTTCTTTCTAAGGGCCGTGTTTACCTCTTTCTCTGGTAATTGGCTTGCCCAGGCCAGGAGAGTGAACCGGGCTTGCTGTATAGACGAGCTCAGACAAGCTGCCTGCAAGGCTCACCTCCATCCTCTGGGCACACGTGCACTTTGAAGTGAACCAAGTGGAACCTGAGCCATGAAGACAACCCCGCCGTCACCCCATCTATGAGCCGAGAGGGAAAGTACATTTTTGCAAGTGTGGGCTCCAACTGACCTGCCAAAACTAAGCACCACGGTGAGAATGGTATCATGGCAGGATGAGCTCATTCAGAGAACAAAAGAGTGAGAAAAATAGAGCTTCCCTTGGGCTGCAGAGTCATGTAAGTATGAAGAAGGAAATACGAAAGGAGCCACTTCTCAATAAAAACAATTCCAGAGGATTGAAATATTTTATCAAATTTTTCCCTTGCAACTTAAAACATACATATGCTCATATGTTTCCTCAGAAAACATAACACGAAGAGAAAAACTTTATGGGGTTTCTTCTGGAAAGCAATATTGTTACTCGCTTAATGTCACCTAGGGGTTGCCTAGAAACTCCCTAGGATACTATAAAATAAGAAAAGGGGGTCTATGTGGAATGCCTAAAAGTGAGACTAAGAAACATGACTTAGATTGGGTTTCCTAGAAGTGGACTTGAGACAAGTATTGGGGTCAAATAGTTTATTAGGGAAGTACTCTTAGGTGAAATCTATAAAACGGTAAGGCAAGGACAGAAATACAACTAATCAATTGTGGAGGATAGCAGGGGAGTCCCCTGATTCTAAAGGGAAACTGGTGTATGGGTTAAATCTCAGTTTGTCTACAGGGCAGTCATTGGCTAAGGGAAGTTCCTGGGCAAGGGAAGAAAACAGGCACCAAAGATGGGGGTTTGGCTCATAGAAACAACAGAAATTTACTTCTCCCAGTTCTGGAGGTTGGGAGTTCAAGATCCGGTGCCAATATAATTGGGTTCTGGTGAGGGCCCTTTTCTAGGTTGCAGATGGACAATTTCCTCATTGTATCCTCATATGGCAGAAAGCAAAGCAAACTCTCTTGGAGCTATTTATTTATTTATTTTAAATCCTCACCTAAGGATATCTTTTCCCATTGATTTTTTTTTAGAGAGAGTGGAGGGAAGGGAGGAATGGTGTGGAGAGAGAGAGAGAAACATGGATGCGAGAGAGACATCTATTAGTTGCTTCTTGCATGTGCTCAGACAGGGGCCTGGGATTGAGCCTACAACCGAGGCACGTGCCCTTGACTGGGAATCAAACCCATGACCCTTTGGCACATGGGCTGATGCTCTAACCACTGAGAAAAACTGGCCAGAGCTCTCTTGGAACTCTTAATAGGGCACTAATCCCAGTCATGAGGGCTCTGCTCTCATGACCTCATCTAATTCTGATTACATCTCCAAAATCTCCCCCTCCTCATACGGGGTAGTTTCAGTAAAGGAATTTTAGGGAGATACACAGCTTGTCCACAATTATACAGACACATATTTGACTTTGCAATTGTGGAGTGATAGCTTAATACTGTGCCTCCTGAACTTTTCACCCAATGATTGTAGTATCCATAATGATGCTTACCAAATGAATGACCTATCTTATATTTCCCTGCATTTTAAAAAATATTTCCTTGATTAAAAATGTAAGTGCTTTTATTGCCCCCTCTTCTTTCTCTCTCTCTTTTATTATGTGTAAGTACTCATGGGTTTTTACAAAAGCCAATGTATCATGATAAATTGCTATCTTTTTGGTGCTTTAATTTTTCCAGAATTGGGCAGTGGTTGCCTTCCCAAGATGGCTCCTTGATATGACCCCACTTGGTCATATCAAGCCTTTTCTTGTTTTCTGACACACGGAGATGACTCAGGCTCACCTTGCACTTGGTCCCAGAATCAATAACTTCTCCATGGTTATTTTCTGTTTAACTTTAAAAACAATATTACTAATTCCACAATACTGCTTCAGATTTTTTACTAACCACCTGGAAGCAAAACCATTTGGAGCATTTTAGGAGTAACCACAAAATGCTAAGAGGTTTTCTCATAGTATTTCACATAATCCTTGCAGGAGAGATAAGTAATATTTTATTCATTTTAAAAATAAAAAAAGTCAAGGCTTAGGGACATGAAGGAACTTGTTTAAGGTCACAGAAGTATGTCCCAATCTAAAGCCCATATTCTCTTTCTTTCTTTGGCAAGGTGTTTCTCAGAGACTTACAAAGAAGGACTCAACCTTAGCTCTAGTCTGAAAGCCCATTTGTGTGAACATTTAATGTTCAACTATAGAAGTAGGCGAGCTACTAAAACAAACAGAGACTTAATGTTTAATATTAAATTCCTAAAGTCTATGATAAAATATTTGTTCAAAGAGATAAAGGTTCAGAATGTTACCCCTTAATAATATATATTCCTGCTTGGAAATTGTAACGCCTTATAAATATTAAAAGAAGATATTTCAAAAGTGTCTAGCATTTAACTTATATTGGAGTAATTCTGTATTGGTGAGAAAAGAGTTTCACGCCTCATCTAAATAGAATAATTGATACTTTTGACCATAATTAAATAGAAGGGTTAAAATTAGAGTATAAATTACACTACATCATTTT